GTTATATTCCTGGAATATAATTCTATCAATTATGTTGTTGATCTTTTATTAGAAAGATATGTTCTCCACTTCACATATGAAAATAAATTAATACTTAAGAGACTTCATATGGATTTTTAGCTGGGTCCAAAGCAAGATATTGCTCTCAAAATATTTTCATATGCTTTTATCATTAATACATTTTTGGAATCTGAATACTTAACTAAGAAACTTGTTTCGGTTATATTTCCAAATATCTCATTTGTATTGCTTTTTTCTTTTTTTTTGGTGAGGAAGATTTGCTCTGAGCTAACATCTGTTGCCAATCTTCCTCTTTTTTTTGCTTGAGGAAGATTAGCCCTGAACTAACAACCGTGCCAATCTTCCTCTATTTTGTATGTGGGTCACCACCACAGCATGGCTTGATGAATGGTGTAGGTCCATGCCTGGGATCCAAATCTGTGAAACCTGGGCCGCTGAAGCAGAGTGCATGGAACTTAACCACTACGCCACGGGGCCGGCCCCTGTATTGCTTTTTGACAAACTTTTGCATATGGTTCCTGTGGACATGAATGAAGCATTTCCAAGCATGTTATAAATTTTTCCTTCTCCACCCCCTAATCCATATTGATACTCTACAACATGATGAAAGATGCAGCAAAACAAACCAGTCATGGTTCAGCTGTTCAAGAAGCACTTTTTCTGTCCTAGCTCTAGTTCACAGTGCCATATATGCAAAGAAAATATTCCCTACAGTTCTCCCCTTAGGACCCATCTCTTCATCCTAGATTTAAAATCACAGTGTTTGGGGAAAAGCTACAAGTGAGAAACTTACTGTTTGATGATGATGAAAGGCCTTAGGTAAATATTTTGATATGGTGTTAAGAATAAAAACTACTAGAGTTTTAATCATACCTACATATGACTGGTTATGAAGGTGACAGAATGAGGTAAGAACAAAACATCTTGACCTAGATATAAAAATCAGTTTGACATCTTCTAAGGTAAGAGTGATACTGTGATTTATAGTAAGTGATATATATTTGGTCTTCCTGCAGTTTCTGGCACAGCGCTTCTCCTAAAACCATTGGAATTTCCTAAGTGATAAAGGTGTCTTTTGTTATGTTAATGAGGTGATTTTTGGACCCCACCTAAGGATGCGTAAGGAAGGGGACAGGGGCTGGAGACTGAGTTCAGTCACCAATGGCCAATGATTTATTCATGCCTACGTAATGGAGCCTCCATAAAAACCCAAAAGGGCTGGGTTCCGAGAGCTTCCAGGTTGGGGAAGCAGAACACTTTCACGTGCCACTGTGCCGAGCCCCAAACTCCACAAGGAAAGCAGCTCCTTTGTTTGGGACCCCACCCATCTATGTTTTCATCTGGTCATTGATTTGTACCCTTTAATGTATTTTGTAATATCCTTTGTAATAAATTGGTAATCTAGTGAGTAAAAGGGTTTCCTGAGTTCTGTGAGCCACTCTAGCACATTAATCAAACCCAAGGAGGAGGTTGTGGTAATCTCTGATTTATAGCCAGGTAATCAAAAGCACAGGTAACAACCTGGGCTTGTGAATGGCATCTGGAGGGAAGTCTGGTAGGACTGAGCCCTTAACCTGTGGGATCTGATGCTATCTCCCAGTAGACAGTGTCAGAAATTGTAGGACACCCAGCTGGTATCTGAGAATTGCTTAGTGCTGTGGGGATCCCGCTTCCCCTGACACACACTGGAAATTGGTGATCAGACCCTTTCGTAAGGCAATTGATAGTGTCTGTCTACCATGGTTTTACTTCTAAAATCCTAGCATAAAAATAACAAAGGTGTTAAAAATGATATATAGCATTTTTACCATTATCACCACTTCTCTGCAAACACTCTTGCTCTGCTGACCTCCCTCCTTCTGTTGTACTTACCTAACAAAATCCTAATCCTGGTTAAGTATAACCATCCTTTCCTATAAACCTGCGTCCGAGTAGCTGAAGATGGCCAAAGAGCACAGTCATGCTGATGGGTTTCAATATATGTCCTCAGATCTCAATCACTGCCTGACATCCTTTTACACTCCTCGGGGATATTTGCTCTTCTACTTTCCAAGACAACTGTTTACCCACCTATAGTAACTTATACCTTTCCTAAACTATCTCATATTATCTTTGTGGGAAGGTAGGGTAAAGGGTGTCCTTTCATTACATGGCCCAGGAGACTGAGTCACAGAGGTTATGATACTTGGTGGCAGAGCCAGTACTAGGGAGTCTCAGAGGAAGTGAGCTTCTTATCACTGCAGTATTCAAGTTCAGTCAGGGATGGGATAGAAGAGATTCAAGCTTTCTGTGGGAGATTAGAAAAGACGGCCTTTAAAGCCTCTAAGATTCCATCTTGCTTTTTATATTCTACCAATATAAATGTCTTGCTGAAACTTCATTTTTTCTTCAATCACAATGTTAACCACTTATATACAACATTTTTGACCGTCTCTGTAATGTTATTACATATAACCCAGTGACAGTTCAAGGCTGTTGTGTAAAATTTTTGCTGGTCTCTTCTCTTTCTCTTAATCCATCTCCTTGTCTCTCTCCTCACCACAGAAATATGGTAAAACACAAACAAAACCCACCTTGACCTTGCATCTCAGTCTCACTAACAATCACCTTCACCTTCTCTTTCCCCTTCCATGTATAGCCAAGTTCCTTCAAAGAGGGGTTTTTGCTCACTGTCTCAACTTCCTCCCACCTCACTTCTCTGGGATCTAGTGTTGGCTGCTGCCATTACCCTGAGTCTGCTTTTGCTAAGACCATTTTCTAGTTGTCAAAGCCAGTGGACATTTTCATTATTTCCCTTGCCTGAACCCTACAGCACCTGACATTCTCGGTTGGCTTCTCTCTTTGAAATGTTCTTCTTGCACAACATCATGCTTCTGTGGACCTGTGACTCTACTTCTCATTCTCATTCAAGCCCTGCCTGCCCCTCAAATGTTGGTGTCCCACAAAGTTCTATCCAGAACCCCATTCCCTGTTGTTTGCATCCACACCCTTGGCTTTATCGATCTCATATATGCCATGCTCCAGATCCTTGCATTTAACTGCCTATTATACCAGAGAAACTTTAATTTCAACATATCTCAAGTCAAACTTCATCTTTTGCCCATACTTCATTTTCTTTCATGTTCCACACATATTTGTCACCAACTCTCACCAGTTCTACATTTTCACTCTTTATCCCCTCATCTCCATTCCCATTAACAATTCTTCGGTTCACTCCTCATCTGAATGAATTCTGTAAGTCTCAAACTGGTCTTGCTGTTAGTCATGACGGTCTCCATCTTTTCTGAACAAACTGTAGCCAATTTAGTAATTAAAATTTTTTTAATATAATCATGATGTATTCCCTGCTCAAAATTCTAGAGGATCAAGTTGAATTCCTTACTAAGCATTCCAGGCCGTTTGTAACATAATGGGAAGAGCACAGGCTTCAACCTTTACCAGTTGTATGATTGTGTGTGTGTGTTGAGGGAGTGTTCAGTTTCTTCATCTGAATTGTGGAAGGGTTAAAAATGTTAAAATTGTGCTATCTAATACAAGGCAGCTACTCAAGAAATGGCTGCTCCCTTATGCCACATTGGTCCTGCAGGCCTGCACTGAGTTCTCTGGAGGCAGCTGGCCTGCTCTATCCTGATTCTTGTTTCAGCTTGTGCCTGGAACAGCCCCGCCTTCGGTCTGTCTGGTTAATTCCTACTCATCTTTCAATATTATACTTGGGTACCACTTCCATGTCAAGCTTAGGTGGCTTGACACCTTAGGTAGGTAGCCACACTTATCACTTACTCCTCTCTGCTCTCACTGTACACTCCATAAATATTATTTGTGGCTCTTTTGTTATTGCTGGAAAAAAAAAAAAGTTTGGTTCTGGACTATTTCAGCAAATATATGGTGAGCTCCTTGAGGACAGGTATTCATCATCTTCATATGCCGGTATCTAGCACCATCACCTGCGTGAGTACTAATCATCAGATACTTGGTAGGTAAATGTCCAAATTATGAGATATGTATAAACTAGGGGCAAAAAAAAATGTGCTTATAACTGTATTTTCTGAAAGAAGCATTAATCATTTTTCTTGAAAATTTCAATCTCTTAGTTAAAGGAAAAAAATTCAGAACAAGTATTTTGTAGAAACTTTTTTCAGGATAACTTAAAGAACATGCTACCAACTGTGCATACTCATATGCAGTGGTTTATTCCTTGAAGATTTTGTGAGGATTCAATGAGATCATCTTTCTATTGCCCCCTTAGCACAGTGACTGACCCATAATAACCACTTAAAAAGTTGATCTTTAACATTATTATAATTATTCATAGATCATGTATTTTCATTTATCTTGTTCACCCAGATTCCTCTAAAATCTACATTACTAAATCAACTAAATTTGGTGCAACAGAAATGGATGCACTCTTTCAGGCCACAGCATAGTAGCCTGCCAAGATGGACCGAAAGCTTAAAGGAATACAAGGTCTTATTAACATGTGGTAGTGATTAGCTGAGTCCATGTTCATGTGTCAATACTAAATTGCCTACTTAGAAAACTAACTTGCTATTAAAATAAATTAAGATAGAACTGACTGTCTCTTCACCCAATAACTTTTGGCCATAAAGCATAATATTAATCATAGATAACTAACTGTACTAGAAGTTCATCCTCAATTATCAGAATAATTAAAAAAACACTATAAATAAATCAGCAGTATTTTATATACTTGCAAGTTCACAATTTCCACAAGGGTTTTCATGCTAGCCTTGTAAATTTAAAGAACACAGTTTAGTTATAGTTACACATGGTAATGGAACAAATTAATAGATTATAATGTATTTTTCTATGCTTATTTTCTTATGATTACTGAAGTCAAATTATTTGATATTTTATGATTATTATGCAATAAAACTTTCTTGGCAAGTCTTACCTGGAATTAAAAAGTATTTCAAAATTTAAAAAAACTTACTAGAAAAAAATGAAAAGCATTATTTTTGTTCTAACAAAATTTATTATGCAGTAATTACAAAGGTTAAAGACTCTTCTATCTCAAATAAAAATAACTGTTATGATTACACACATAATATAGTACCTTCTAGAGTGATTCCAATAAATATCACAGGAAATACAGTGCATTTTCAAATCGGAGAGACAAATACTTTCTCATTCACAGTGTCTGACATAGGAAAGCCTGTTCACATAATGATCTGTATAGGTCATGCTCTTAGTACCAGTCCACACAGAGCTGTGCCAACACAATTCTTTCAGAATGTGAAGTACCGGGCAAACCACTCCTGGCGCTGGGGATCTGGAGAAGCCACCGGGGAAGCTTCACTCTGAGGGGGACTGAATTCATAAAGAGAGAGACATGTAACCCAGCATTAAGCTGTTTTGCAGAAGGGCAAAGCACATAAAACATCAGCGTGGAGGGCCGCAACTGGTTCCCTATACTAGAAGATGTGTTCTAAAGCTTTGCTACTTCCTCTGCGCTCGGTTTGGTTCTCCACTCCATGAGAGCACGCACTCCATGAGAGCACAAGAGCACATCAGCAGCTCAGATGAAGTCAATTAAGAGGAAGCCACATTGCAACAGTCACAAAAAACAAAATCAAACAGTTGAGAAAAATAATGTCACTTACTTTGAATAAAAAAATTTAGGAGGAATTGTGGGAAATAGGAGAGAACAAGACATCATTCCTCTCTTTCAGCACCTTTTCTCTTGCAGTTAATTAAAATTTCAGAATCTGACACAAGCATTTGATTCTTTCAGATATGTCCTTAACTATAACTAAATTAAGTAACTAAACCATGGTACAGTATTTTACCATATGTATATTTACAGTAAACTTTTGTAATTCCATAAGCAAATACTCTAGGGGAAAAGGAGTACATTAAAAAGCCAATTTCCCCTCCATCTTCAAAGTTATGCAATTTATACGTATTTAATTCTAACTAAAGATTCTTTGGGCTAGTTGAGAAAATAAGAGAATCCCTACCGTCTCTGGGGGAAATTACAAGGCACGCAACAATGTGTAATGGGAACTCCAGTAGTCACGTTCCTTGAGCTCATGCACATGCATCCTACTGATACCTGAACGTACCCATGCACAAGGGAAGACAAGCAACACAAAAGATTTAGCAGGAGACACATTCAAAGGTGTATGTGACTATTTTCCATTCTTGCTATCTATTTCTACTTGAAATATTTAGTCATTAAATATGTCATTAACCACTGAGCCTAGAAAAAGATAGTCTACCTGTAAGACGATTACTAGTGACTAGAGATTCAGTAAGAATAAGTTAAAAATAAATAAACTTAAAGCAGCACAAAACAGTAAGGTAAGCATAAGGACAATATTTTCTGACTTTATTTAAACTGGCTTTCATTCAAATTTTACTTAATACATTTAATCAACTCTGAGATAACTTAAAATTGAAATGTCAATTATAAAATTATTTTTTCTAAATTTATTTTTTGTTTATATATATCATTAAGTTCCCAGAGATTACATATTTTTATTTTGGCAATAAGCATGGTAAACAAGAAAGAGAAAAAAATAAACATATAAGAAACAGAAACAAAAGCTACTTAATTAAAATTTTTTTTAAGTTCTGTAATGAGGATGGATTATTAATGAAAAATTGGTGACAATAATAAAAATGAAGCAACAGTCCATAAATATTAAAATTCTAAGCATATGAATTACCTTAGCACCTCTTTAAGCATTTAGAAAATTGATAAGAAATTTTAAAAAATCTTTTTAATAGTCAAAAAGGAGTTCTCTAGAGGTGATAAATATATTTTGAAAATATTTCACAGTAATATTTCTTTTCCTAGTCTGTTCTTAAAGTAGTGGATTTCTGTAATGTAAGAAGGTAATTTCTCAAGTTAAAAAAGAAGAGAAAAGGAAAAAAATGCCTGGTGAGACAGGGCTCACCTCAAAAAGGTCTTGGGCTCTTTGGGTGGCACTGGCTGTGGAAGCGGTTTGCTGCTGTTGAACTCAACGTCGTGGACTGGAGAATTAGGGATGGGCTCCAGGCGGTTGGGATGTCCATTGCCCACTCCACCAGATTCCAGAGCACTCAGATTGGGAACACTCACAAACCTGTTTGTTGGTGATTTATCATTCTTCTTCTTTTGCTGCATTAAAAATAATACATGTGAGGACAGTCCTTGCATGAGGACACATGAGAAAATAGGAATAGTGGAAGATATAAATTTGGCATGGGAAAATTTTGGAAGCTTTCTCTTAAGCTGGAATGTTAAAATGAACCAGTGTTACCCAAATTGTGGTCTGGGGATCTTTGGAGGTGTTCTTTATCTACATGGAATCCTCACAGACATGCTGCTAGGACAGATAGAATGAGGAAGAAACGTTTAGGAATGGCTCATGGGGAGGGGAGGAGGAGGTGAAAAGAATGCCAACAGGTAAAGAATAATGGAAGGAAAAGGGAAAAGAGGGGGAAAGAGTAGATCTTGCAGATACCACTAGGTTAAATGGATTTAGGCTAAAATTAGGCGAAGGCATAAAGTTAAATATAATTTTAAAAGAGAGGTCTGTGAACTTTAGCCGTCTGTCAAAGGGAGGCAGTCCTTGCCTGGAAAAAAAAGGAATGAGAAAATGCTTGGCAAAGTAGTTTGACACAAATCTCACATTTCTACTTAAGACATGAAGCTGACTTACAGAAATAATTTGGTTTTAAATTCACTGTACCATCTTTCTGAAGAGAGAAAATTAAATCTGCATAATGAAGTCTTATTTCCCAATTAATTGGTAGTATCATTAATTAGCTCACAAGGTTTTAAAAAATTTAAAGGTTTTAAAACAAAGGTGGTCAATGTTTTTTATTTTTTAATTGGTCTTTAAAATGAATAGATGAGAAGAAAAATACAATTGCAGATTATCAAAATCTATCAGCTTGCAAATCATTAACTTTAGTCTATTTTATTCACACCTCTAGATTCAATGAGCATCAATCTTGCTATGAAGAATAAAAATTAACATGTAAATATTTTGAATATTCTCATATTTTACTATTCAAACATATGGTAATTAAATTTATGAAATAATTTTTTGCAAAATGACTCCAGAGTTTGGAAAAAAATACTATTAATAGACAAGATGGCCCTTTTCCTTTCCTTATAAAGTAACGATCTCATTATCCAGACGTTGTCTTCTGTGTCATAGTCTGTGAATCAGGGAGTCTCTGACAAGGAGCCTATTTTAGTATTACTGAAAAAAGAAAGGAAGAATAAGGTCTTCTTCAAAACTATTTGTGAAAATTGAAGTCACTATCAGGAGTCAAAAGTAGTTTGAAAGTTCTTACAGAGGTGTATCTTTTGCATTTTCTTGTTCTAGTCACCAGAGGGCATAATTAAACTTACTTAAGGCTTCTATTGTAAGAAATCAGAGTATCTTTGGTAAAGTTCTAAAGTAATGGTTTTGTAGCTAAAAATGTAATTCCAATAAAATAAATAATAAATAAAAGGAAAATATTTATAGTATATTTTGTTTCAATAAGTCTCATAATCTTGCTTTATAATTAAAAGCTTATTTCACTGTAAATTATGAATTTAAAAACTAAAACTATATTCATTCATTCACCAATTGTTTATTGAGAGCCTTCTATGTGCCCGGCAGTACTGCAGGCTCTGGAGATACAGCAGTGGGCCTGCCTACTTTAGTCATTCTACTTTATAAAATAATTAGTTTAAAGTTTGCAGCACTTGAACCTGTGAAAGAAAAATAGATTTCATGTTCTTAACAGAGAAGTTTTATGAGCTTTGAAAGCAAAAATTTCTGACTAAAGGCCTAATAGAAATTAGGCATGATGTGCAAATTAATTAAATCTGAATTAAAAAAAACAGCTTTAGCACTAGCACTTTTATCTTTACTACTGATTTCTGCCAAAAGATATGTAATCCCTATGAAGCCAATATACATAATTATTTATTACTTGCTTTATTCACTAGAATAATATGTGGTGGCTTATAGAAAATCTGATGAAATTTGGCAACTGAACAAATATTTATTGAATACCCACTATACCCAAGGCACTGTGATGGCAGCCCCAGGAAGCTGGGGTACAAAGATGTAGAAGACTTAACCATGTCCCTTTCATTTGTCTACAAGGCTCTTCTATCTGTCCTAAGAGAGTAGCAAAGTATCAGAAGAGGTCATGTTCAGTTTTAATTGTCAAGAAAGGTCATAAGACTGAGAGAAGTAAAGCCCTTCTCTGAAGATTGGTAGGCGACAAAATACATGTTCAACCCAAGGTCCGTTAAGATGGCAGGCCTTAAGCTAGGGAGAGCTGTTGGGTATGCAGGGCTGGAGTGTCCTTCAGGAACCCATGGAGGATAGTGAATACTAGAAATGACAAGGAATTATCTTGAGGAGACTTAGAAGTTAGTTTTCTTTACATATGTGAAAAACAAAATGGTAGAACCAAGGTTTTGTAATATTAATAAAATATTATTTTAAGGAGTACGAATTAACAAATATATGAATATTATCAGAGTCTCATTCTGAAAATGAATAAAGAATTCATAGATTTTAGTCCTAGATTACTAAATTTAAGAAAACATTTTTTGGAAGCTTTATTCTATGCTGCTCTAAATATTTTATAAAAATTTTAATCGAGTTTTAAACCACATCCCTATTTTACAGTGTTTACAGCACATACCTTAGCCAATGGATTAATAACACCAATAGTAGGGCTTGAGTTAAACACTTTGTTGAAGTTAGTTTCTCGATTGACTAATTCCAGCTGATAAAATTTATTATCCTCCTATGCAAAAGAATTACAAACATCTCTTAAACATTTTCTATTGAATATTTAAAAACTTAATTGTATAAATGCAATTTCATTCAAAATTTAATATAAAACCTGAATGACGACTGATATACCTTGTTCAAAGATTTCTAGACCTGATTGCCAGTGTCTTAAAGACCACTGGTGGGTAAGTTTTCAACACTTTCAAACCCTTTGCTCTGGGACCCTTCTCTACCTTTTCCCTTTGAGACTGGATCTAAATGTTTTATTTGGTTCCATCTCTGCTCCAAAGGGCAGACCGTACAGTTTGAGCAGGCTTAACTTGCATTCATGGGGCTGTGTGCATGGCTGAGTTGTTTCCATGTATGAAGATGACGCTATGATATATCATTATTCTCGAGTACTAGAAATATATTTGACCTTGCCTAATCTTCTCTCTGAGACATCAATGTATTACAGCAATGATAATCACAGAACAGAGAAAAACTGAATACCCCATGCAGGGATAAACTCTTTGCCTTTGGCTTCACCAACAACATGTGCTCACTGAATAACCAGACTATAGGAAGTAAACATATAAGTAAATGGAACAGTGTGTGTAATGCACAGTTATGCTCTAGTAGAATGAGATTCTTCACCCCCCTCTTAGTTACCATTGACTATAATTTGCACCCTTAATCTCAGCCCATGTGCCTCACATTCCACAGAATCGGCGTAGTGGAAAAAGTGTGGAACAACCGTTGGCTAGATTCTTGGCCCTGTCACTTATTACCTGTGTTGCTTTGGAAACTTACATCACTCTTTGAAGTCTAATACCTATCCTGATATAAGGAAAAAATACAATTATATATCTCTAACACCTGCTTAGTAAAAACTAGAAAATCACTAGCTATTTCTATGGACCATAATGCATTTGCTAATTTCATGTGTGGGATCTAAGGTAATTTTCCACGAGTCCACTGCTATCAGATAGAGCAATCTATGAGGCCCGTGCTCATGTTCGCAGTGCTTGGAAAACTGTGTGGTCAGTAGACTGAAGCAGCACACACTATCTTTCCAATGCTCCTGGGTTCCATCTATGAACTCCAATCTACTACCTATTGCTTTTAGCAGGAACTTCAAGCCCCAAACAACAGGATGGCTTTCCTAAATGCTAAAAGAGATACGTTAAGGAAAAAGGACTTCAGAAATAAATGTTCTTATAAAGGCTCTCTTTGCATGCTAATGGCCAAAGTTTTCAGTTGAAAAAAATCAGTGAGCAAATAGAGTGATTAGCATTCTATTTCTAGTTTTACTCTGAAAGATTTTCATTTGATAGTGGCAGTAAAATGCAATGTTTTAATTATCGATCACGACATAGAATTTTAGAAGACCTTGAAATATCTTATGAATTTTAAAACATTTGTGTATTTTTTATTCTTGAAGAATAATGGCTTTAATGAAGGCAATGTATTTATTGTTAAATCTGTATTTTCTTCCTGGATGGACTTCTCAGAGCCCCTAATACCTCAGTGTGGACTGAGACTCTCCAAGAGAGAGCCTGTAGTTTGCCTTAGGCTAGATCATGGAACCCTTTCTCCCTGGAGTATCTCTTTGGATCAGGGTTCCATGGAACAAGCTTCAGGAAATTCACATGACTACCCTGGAAGTGTATGATGCAGGCTAATGCATGCACGTGCTGACTGTTCTTTCCTATCCCACTCTAATTCTACATGGACAATACACACACTTTAATAGTATATTAACTGTACAATGGCAATGACATATTATTAAACATTCAATATGTATTAAAGGCTTTCTTTTCAAAAAATACTAAAAAAGAGGCACAATTCCCTTACCCTAATACCAAATTTAAAATTTTAAATTACTTTGTATTTCTTATCCTCATTCAAAAACACTTTAATAAACTTTCAGTCACAATGCACATACTTTGTACTTTCAATTTTCATTTAGCATTACTTAAAAATATTTTCCCAACCAACATCTATTGATTACTACATGGTTACACCAAAAACAAAATATCTTACAATTAGCTTCTTTATGACCTGGTCTCTTTCTGTAAGCATGGCTTTTAATTCTGCAATCATCTGTATATCTTCTGGTTTTGATTCTCTCATTAGATATTTTTCTTCCATTTCTTCTAGTCTGAAAACAAGAAAATCTTTAGCTCACTGATATGATTCAGACACATTCTCTTGTAATACCTACATTTTTCAAATTAGTCCAGTTGAACATACACAAAAATTTAAAACCAAACTTTTTTCCTGAAAACTTTTGAGCATAATGATGTGATTGCCTCAAGAGCTGTAGTGTTATTGAAGGCTCTCCAGGGGTAGATGATGTTATTAAAAGGCTTTGTAGATTACTTTTTGAAGAATTCACTCCTTTTATGCCACTCAAGAGCATATGGGGACGAGGTGAGGTAAGCTCTGTAGGAGAAATGATATGCTGAATGATACTAACGCAGCAAACACAGGTTTGATCTGGAAATGTTGGCTTACTATTAGGAGAACTTACCGCAAATACAAAACTGATGACATAAGGCTTGGTAACATATATAAAAGGGACAAGAAAAGAAAGGAAAGGAGAACAAAGGACACACATATATGACATCATTCTTTCCTGGTTTATGGGAAATGCAGTTTAAAAATTCTCTATTATCAGCTAATACATATAAATTGGAAAAAAAAAAAGTTCATCAGGTAAGAGAGAAGTATATTTCTTTCTAGGCCTATTCTACCCTGAATGAGATGAGAAGGTGAAAGGACTGAATGCCACTGAAGACTCCAGACAAAAGTCACTTTGTATGAGCAGAGGTGACATGGACCCTGCAGAGTCTAAGAATATAGGACAGTGCAGAATGAAGAGGATGCAGATGGAAAATGCTGGCTTAGTTTGAAAAAAAATGCATTTTCAATTTTAGAAAATTTAAATAATTATGACAATTAAAAAAATCTTTTTGTTTTTAGAATATAAAGGAAAGAACTAAAGCTCAATAAAGTTATGGTTAATGAAGATTCACAGAAAAACTTACTCACTCAACAAATTTTGTGTAACTTCTAAATGGTCTATCTTCTAGGAATCAGTGATCCATGCCCACCCCTCAATCCCAGAGAGGTACCAGAATCTCTGTGTATTTCAGTAATTTTAGTAAACTGCGCCACTCACTCAGCCCAAGCTAAAGATGTGGAGGTAACATATTTGGCTCCCTACCCAGTCCCATGGCTAGAGTTCTAATCTGGGGGTAGGGAGATATGAGGTGACCAGCAGTGTGGCGTTAGGAAGTGACTGTCTCAGATCAGTTGGGACTTTGTCAGTTCAGTGTAGGGTTGGTGTCACTACCTTTACTTTTGTTCTTTTGTGACAATGCAGATGGAGTGAAAAATAATGTGATTCATTGAGCTCAGATCAAGTGACCTTGCATTTTATAACTATATGGCATTTTTTGGGCAAAGCTTTATTTTATGGGCAAAGGTTTTAAGAAGCTTGAGAAATCGTGTTGTAGTCAAGGAAAAGGCATCTGGGTTCAGTTCTGGAGTAGCCACAAGGTGTCACTGGAGTAGTACTTTATTATTAAAAGCGAGGCACAAGATTTTTGAACTGGTTCCTGCAGGAACAAGAATACTTGGTAGTAAATGGTTGTTAGAAAACTAAATTTATAGCTTTGTGTAAAATCATTATTTCTATCTTTTTGGTCTAGCACAATAAGAAGGTAAGATGAGTCTAAAATAATCAGTTACAATCCCTGAACAGCCTTTTTGCACAATAAAGGTCTGCTCTGAACCTAAATTATCATGTATGTTTTCATTTAGCTTAAACATTCTTTACCTACAAAATTATTACCAGTTAATCCTCTCCACAAAATATCTTTACATCACCAAAAAAATTTAACAAAAAGGATACCTGGATATTAAAGGGAAAAAAATAATTGATGAAGTTGAAGAAACAGAATCCATGTAAACACAAATGGGAAAGCATTAAAGGAGAGAACAAGTGATATGATATAGATTTAACTTGTAAATATATTTCCAGGATTATTAGTCTTCTGAAATTCTCACAGGAAGAGCACTTAGTACTATTCCAAACCACTTCCGGCCAACACTAGTCAACTTTCCCTTTCTTGGGTTGCCCCACACAGCTCTCTAAGCCAGCACTGCTTCCCAAAGGCTACCGGGAACGATCAGTGATACAGGAGACGATTTTTAGTTTCTTCTCCTTTAATCTTTCTCATCACAAGAAGGGGAAAGTCTCAGTTTGGTTCTCTGTATCTTAAATGGCCTTCATAACATATGCTTATTACCCTATTTCACAGCACTCGGGCAGGCCTTGAGCATCAATGTTAGCTAGACTCTAATATTGTTTTATTTTCACAGAATCTACATTTATATAATTACAGCTGATCTTCCAGTTAGAATAATTGATAAGATTTTTCAGTAGTGATAATGGTTTTACTGCAGAGACAATAGAGTTTTCTGTTAAATTTTTAAGTTAAAATGAGTCAATTAAAAATATTAAGAAAATAATGTCATAGGTAGCCAGAAATGACCAAATTCCCAAAGGTGTATAGGAATTAAAGCCTGGGATGCACTGCCTTGAGGGAACCACAAAAGGACAGATAGCCTTTGACTCAAAATACAGATTTGCATAAAAAGTAATGCAAAGAGAGAAGTAGAACATATAAAATTACTAATCAGGGTCACTGTTGGATTCTTCCCAGGCATGCATGCTCTGACATTTTTTGGCTCTCAGAGTATATAGGTCAATGTCTATGATTCATGGACAACACAAATCTAAAATATGAATGCCTAAAAATCTGTATTAAAAAGTTTCCAAGTAGACAGTCCTCCCATGCTGTTTTTTTAAAATAACTGACAAAACAAAATCAGTAAATTGAAATTTTAGAGCCAAACAACAGTATTATTAGACACACATATATTTTAGAATTTTAATTGTATAAAGAGGAAAGAACTCTGTTATATCATCCTTCTCTACAGCCTAAAGAAAGGACATAGAGTAACTGAAGCAGTTTAATGTTGAACTTTTTCTCCCCATAAATTATGGGTATAGACCCTGACTTGGGACAATAGGGCTACTACATCCTTATCTCACAAAGTGTATGAAAATAACCTGAATGGTAATCTAAAAATCAAATGACAACAACAAAAAATGATTAGGGTATTACAGATAAAAGAACTCAAACAACTTTTAAAGAATAAGTAATTCTGGTGTGCTGGAGTGCTTCTTTTCAATGAGGGATTACTGACCCACTTAAAGTCCAAGAACAGAAACTCAGTATTTCCCTCAATAAGAAATTATCTTTTTGCTTCAGTACAGTGAGTAGTTAATGTAAAGTAAACCTAAACAATAATCTCTGAACCACCTTTTTTGCATAATAAAGATCTGCCATGACCCCAAGTTCTAGTGTATGTTTACCTTGAGCTTAAACAAAGTTCTTTAAAACAGCCCATTCTCTCATTTGTTTCCAAAGCAAAAAAAAAACCATGACATTTTTATTAGATACAAGGTTTTTTACTAAGACACTATATCACTCAAGAAAATAAAATTTCTATAGAATATCTGAAAATCTAAGAAGACTTCAACACCCAGCACTAGGGAAGAGAATTTCTAGTAATCATCTCATAGGAGATACAGAACTCTTCCCAGCATTTCTACAATGTTTAGAGGGTACTTTCCATCCTTTAAATTTCTTGCCCCCTCTTCCCTGGAGTCCAACAGGATTTGGGGCAGGAACAGAAGCAAGAAGCTTCCAGCTGTTCCAGAGGCCCCTTGGCTCTAGGCTTCAGCCTGGCAGGCTGACCCATGTTTCTCCAGTCCCTCGCTGCCACCCACTTCCAAGAATCCACAGCGTTTTTCTGATTTTGAAGCTTTAAAATCACCATGTAGTTGAATAGGAACTTCAATAGGGTACCCTCAGGCCTTTGGAACAGGCTGAGAATAGTTCAAATGTTTCCCCCCCCAGCTCCTGAAGCTGGAATGGACTCTCCTTGCTTACCACCTGTCTAAATCCATGTCATTCAGCAGATCCAAGCAAGCTGCATTTAAAGATATGGGCCAGAAATATCCAATAGTCTAAAACTGTGCTTTCCAATATGGTAGCTACTAGCCCACATGTGGGTATTTACATTTAAATTAATTAAAATTAAATGAAAGTAAAAATTCAATTCCTTGGTCACACTAGCCACAGTTCAAGTGCTACTGTGGCTAGTAGCGACTGTACAGGACAGAGAAGATATAGGACACTTTCGTTATCACAGAAAAACCTACTGGACAGCACTGATTTAAAATACATTTGTATGTGTATTTGTTTTTAACTAAAAGAGTAAATGCCTAAAGCTAGAGGCTAATTATATGATGGCAGCAGGTTTCTGGTGAAAAAGAAATACAGTTGGTTAGCGTTGACCCAAGTGAAGTATAAAACAAATGGTAGACCTAGAAAAGCGATAAAATATTTGACTTATGAGTAATACTAATTCTTCAATTGTTAAAAATGATCATAATATAGAAAAAGTAAGTTATTATTTACTATCTATTGAAAATTCATAATGTCTAAAACCATATAAAACAGAATAAAGTAAAAACAAAGACATAACCTTTACTCTTTGTAAATTAACTTTCCTAAAGAGACAGGACACAGGACAGACAGGGGTTATTCTTTTTGTGAGCATGTTTTTTTAGAGTATGAAGTGGAGGATGCCAGGATTTCAGCCTCTGCCCAATGAATAAAACTGAGGCCAGGAGATGACAAAGCCAAGGCACTGGGGTTTATTGTAACTCATTTTTACAAAATGCCCGAGGTTATGAGCCCTTCCACCACATGGCAGTTACCTGAGCTCTTACCGTGGCTCAAAGGATTTAAAAATTACCTGCAAACACCAAAAATCGCTGTGACTGGGGAGATGATCTCATGAGTCTCCTCACCATTTCAAAGCTAACTTGATGAAGTGGTAAATATTATAGAGAATCCTCAAAAAATTCCTTCCAGAAACCTTCATTGAGTGCCTACTAACGTGAAAATTGTGTATATGTCCATTAGAAAGAGCACCTCACCTCAGAGGCCACTGAAGTAAATGCCAATGACTGGGGGTCTGTTTTTTGCTTCAGCTTAAGTGAACATATGTAACAATACTTACTGTGAGACCTAATTGATTAATGGGATGAAATGTGAGGAGATGAATTTTAGATGGGGGGAAGGTAATTAGATAGTATTGATGTTAAGAGGTTATTCTAGACTGTAGAGGACAACACTGGACAATCTTAGAAGGAAACCAAGGCCAGTGTAGCTGACACAGAGGCAGCAGACAGCAGATAAGGTGGCTGTTTGATGAGGCAGGATATGGCACAGACACTGGAGCTAAGAATTTAAGTTTGACTTTGAGACTGAGGGTAATGAGATTGGTCGCTATTGTGACTTTATTGAAGTATGTGAAGACAGTTATATATTTTTTGAGGCTTTTTAAAGAGTTATATATGTTTCATGAAGCTTTTTTAATTTGCAAGAGGAGAGACAGAAGGTGAATAAACCATTTGTAGTGGCTTAGAGTAGATTAAGTCTCAGATAACTTAAATTGGACTAGGGTTTAGGCCACAGAGATGAAGTGAATGCTAGCTGTGTTGGCTACAGCAGTTTACAAGTGTGTGTCTAGGAAAGAGAAGGGCTATTAAATATTGTTTTAAAACATTAAACAACTAGAAGTTTTGGTCTTAACAATATTGAAGTTACTATGCATGAATGGTAACTTTATTTGTGATGTTTTACCTTTATTGATTTTTAAAATCACAAAACAATTAAATGCCTGTTGTAGGAATGCAAACAATATCTAAGTAGAGTATATAAAATAAAAAGGATGTCTTTGCTCTTCCCCACCCCCAATACCTCCTAATCCACTCCCTAGAGGGAACTACTATCATTAAAATTTTGTATTTGTTTTTTAAGACCTTTTGATATTTTTATAAAATATGTATTATTAGCGTATGTATAGGATCATAATAGTCTTATTGGTCACAATATGCTCTTTTTACTTAACATTATATAACGGACATCTTTTGAGGTTTCACCATGGCATGATCCTTCATGATCCTTAGGGACAGTCTGTGGACAAGTATTGTCCTAGTAGAGCTATGGCAGTAGCAGCTGATGAAACATAATCATTCAACTGCCTTATCCTAATTAAAGAATATATCACATTACAATTACCATCTGTAATAAAGCACTTAAGTTTTCTTTTTTAAGTATCATTTAATTAGATTCAAAAGAGTAGCTAATCTGAGGTTAGACACAGTGCTCCCCAGTTTATCATCTACATATGAATTTTCTTTAATATAATATGACTTACGACACTTGTAAAGCTGCATTTATTTCCTTGAGTAGCTCGTTAGTCTTATTAAAATCTGCCCGCATGACATTTTTCTCTCTGAGGTGGTCTGCTGTCATGACATCCAGCTCTTTTTCAAGTCTCTTGTTTAAATCTTGTTCATGCAACCTGTTTAATTTATTTTCAGTTAAGAAAATGTTATTCTGAATTCAAGCTTTCAAAACTTTCTATATTCTACCAGATTTGAAATGGTTTTAGGTATAATATATAGAAAATTAATGGAAACAGCCTAAAATAAGTTACTTACTTTGCTCTAATCTTTGAGCTTGTTAAAGTTGTCTCCTTTAATGCTTTTTAAAATAACATTTCTAGAAGATTTTAATTATACACAATTTCCAAAGTTAATGCATGCATATACATCATTCAAAATATAAACATCTCCTCTACGTTCTAGATTATAACATAGTCAACAAATAAAGTAAAAAGTGGTCTTCAATATCTTATTAGAAGGCAGTCTGGTCATCAAAAAAGGCACATATTGCTAAATACCATTGCAACAGTCTTTCAGATAACACTGCATATTCCTCCTGTTGTAATTAATGGCGTACCTCATCTGTTGGTTAGATTCACTTCGTATTCTGAGAATTTCTTTCCCCTTAAATTCCAATTCTTTGGTTAGGGCACTTATATTTTCATGAAGGTGCTGTACCTCCTTATCCAAGTCTGAGATGTGATGCTCTCGGTGCCTTAACTCCTCTTGTAGATCTGTTATTCTACACATGTGCTCCTTACTCTGCAAAATACAAATCATGCTTAACAGTTTTCTACATATTTGCTTTCTGTGTTAATCCAAGGGAAAGAAAATGACATACTGGAATGTCAAATGGAATAACTCTGACATGGCTTCAAAAGCAAACTGCTGAAATGAGAAAACCTCAAGGCCTCTTCTCTTTCCATATATCTAAGAAGAGTTTATACTGATACAGCTTCAATAATGTCACGGCTACAAGGGACCCAAAAGACCATAAAAGCACATCTCCCTCATTTTACAGAGGAGGAGACTAATACCCAAGAGATGATCTGTCCAAGGATGACCTATAAGTCAATGGCAGAGCTGGGATTAGAACACAGGGCTCTTATATACTCAGTAAGTTATATGGTCTTGCAATAAAATGCTGGCACCATTTCCTTTCATCTAAAAAGGACCTGCATCTCTGAAGGCCATCCCAACACACACATACATCCCAGGGCTTAGAAAGCAGGCTTCATGCTTAGCGCTGGTCTAGCAGTTATCTTGTTTGACAGATGTGCTCCCTTCCATCTTCCTAGAAGTCACTGATTTCTACAAGTTCTGCAGGCCTAGACATTGTCAATTTCAGTGTCACCCTACTTGAAAAGAATATAACTTCCTTCCATGGTTATAAGGTGGCTCATTTAAAACTTCTTAGTAATGAAGAGAAAATTTGGGCTGATCATTTAATACAGCTGAAGACTAACAAAGTGAAAGTCATAAGTCTAATAAACTAATAAATAATAGCCTTCATTGCACTATGCCGAAAAATCCATCCATCCAGACATACATAAATTCAAGATCACAAACTGTCTCATTAAAAGAAGTACACTTGGCCAAAGATCAAAATTTAAAAAGCGTAAATAGTAGCTGTGCTAGTGGTGTGCAAATATAAATTATCTTTTTTCTTCTTGAGGACCTGCTATGTCTATAGCTATGCTATCTAATATAGCTGTTGTAATTCATTAAAATTAAACTGAAAATTTAGGTCGTCATTAGGACTAGACATATTTGGCCCATGTGGCTATTGACTACCATATGGATAGCACAGATATAGAACAGGTCCACCATCATGGAAAGTTCTACTGAACAGTGCTGTTTTATAATATTCTGTCTTCACTCTTTATATTATTTATATTTCATTGTTCACTTTCTCAAGACGGAAGTAAAATTCAAAATATTCAATTAAAAGTTCATAAAATAAAATTTAATGTTATGACCAGTATACTAAAGTCAAATTACCTTTTTCCCTTTAAAAATAAAATTCTCTAGTATAAGTAGTGAGTAATAACTAGTGAGAACACTAGTTATTACAAAATAATTTTGAGAAAATTGTGAACATTCAAATCTGTTCACATTGAAGAAATCATCAAAGAACAGAATGTTCTTCTTTACCTGTCTTCTGCTGATGTCTATACTTCTCTCTAATTCCATTTTAACAGCTGCCAATTCTTGATGATGGTTATGCCGTAACACATCAATTGCAGCTGCATGTTGATGATTTAGTTCTGAGCGTAAGGAAGCTGGAATCCAAGGGAAAAAGAGGTTAACCATATTTAAAAACTATTATCAACACTTTAGGTAAAAATTGTAAGTCACAGAATATGGTTTTTTAAATTAGGACACTTGGATATACCCATTAATATATCATCCTTAAAATATTACAAACTTACAATGATGTACACCTGAAATTTTTACAATGTTATAAACCAATAAAAAAAAATATTACAAACTATCATAGAATATCATGAATTTAGAAGTCTTCTAGCTTTGATGAGGATAAGAATTTTCAGCTGCTCAAACAGATCAAGGTATTTCTATACATGATTTTAGTTTGCAAGTAAGGTGCTAAAGGAGATGAAATGTTTTTAACTCTTCTCATTCACTATTAGAATCATAAAAATTTTAGAGTTAAATGCTACTATAACATATATTTATAGGAGGCAACTTCCCACCCAGGTAAGAATTTTTCCAAAATATCCCTGAAAAATATTAAGCACTGGAGGGTGAATGCTTTTAGTGATGTGGAAGTCATCATTTTCATCTGAATTTAAGATTGATTATTTCATACAATCCACATTTATTGAATGCCAGGTCTTATACTAAGGGAAAATAAAATAGGACCCTGTCTTTATAACTGCACAGGCTAGAAGGGACAGCATCATGCCAGGAAATTAAGTGGGATATCAGAGATGAATATTAGGTATAATGAAGGCACAGTGGTGGAAACACCGAAATTTCCTAGAAGAGGGAAATTGGAGATGTTATCACAGAGGAATTGTCACAGTAACTCAGTCTTTCTCCAAGTGGAGGAAGAGAAGAGTGTTCGGGAAGAAGGGATAACATGCAAAAGCAGAAAGAGCCTGATCCATCTGCCAACTTTAACAGGTTTGGTGTGGCGGGAGCCCACAATGCATGCGGTCATATTGGCAAGAAAATGGAGCCCAATCTGAGAACGTTTTAGTACAAAATGCTTTAACTTTATGCTTAGACTCATGGTTCTCAAATATCATGTGTGGCAGTATGCTTGAGGACTTGTAGAGTCCACACGATCATCTTCTGAGACATGAATTTTACCTGAAGATTTCTGGTAAACCCATTATTTTTATATTAATGCAAAAGATATGTGAGTAAAATACAAATTATACATTTTAAAGCGAAAATGTGAGACTTCAAAGAAATGCTGTGCTTATAGCTAGTCAATTTAGGCTCCTCCTGAGTCCTCCACGTAGGGTGTAAGTTCAGTCTCCTCTAGTGTGGTCTTCACTCTCTTCAGTGGAAAACTTGACAGGCACTGAGGGAGGACAAGGGGAATCACGGAAGGATTTAAAGTTGGGGAGTCACATGGTGAGACTGGAGCCTTACGAAGATTAACCTCCCTGGAGTCTGGAGAATGGACTGCGCGAAGGGAGATCACTGCGAAGTTTACAGAAGTAATCTAGGTGAGAAATGGTATGAGTATGGCGGAAGGACTAAAGAAGAGTGAAAAATACAGGGAGTATTTAAGAGGAGGAACTAACAGGATGTGGAAGCAAAAGAAAAAATGTTGACTGTGTTTCCCAGATTCCTGGTTTTGGCAACTAGGGAAACAGGGATACCTTTAATTAAAGTGGGAGGTACAGGAATGGAAACACATTTTGGACCTGAGGGAGACAGTGAGCTCATTTTTAAAAATGTAGAGTATAAGTTAGAATCTAACTCTCCAATAGGCAAAAAGAAATATAAATCTAATTCACAAGGAAAGCCATTTGGTCTAGAAATACATATTTGGAGTCATTAGCACAATAGATGGTAAGTGAAGCCACAGATGTGAATCTGATCAACCAGAAAAAGCCTGAATACTAAGAATCAGACTGGAAGGCTGGGGACTGAATCTTGGGAAAGAGCAATGTTTAACTGATGCACAGAAAAACAGGACTGGTGAAGGAGATTAAAGAGCAGAGGCCAGAAAAGTAGGAGTACAGTGAGTACAGTATATTATCATGGGAACCAAGAGGAAAAAAGATTCAAGAAGGTCAAAGGGGTCAAATGATACAGACAGGGTCAAATAAGATGAGAGCTGGTAAGTGAGAATACTTTGGATTTGGAATTTCAAAGTTTAATAGTGACCTCAGGGAGGGTAATTTCAATGAAATAGTAGGGGCAAAATGTAGAGGTGAGGAATCCTGACAAATGACTAGTATCTAGAATATATGAAGAACTCTGAAAACTCAACAGTAAAAATAAAAATAACCCAATTAGAAAAGAAAATATACAGATGGCAAATGAACACATGAAAAAATGTTCAAAATCATTAACCATTAGGGAAATGCAAAGTAAAATTCACAATGAGATATCACTACATTCCTATCAGAATGGCTAAACTACAAGATGGTGACCACATCAAATGCTGGTGATAATGTAAAGAAACTGAGTCACTCATACATTGCTGGTGTAGACATAAAATGGTACAGCTACTCTGGAAAACAGTTTGGCAGTTTCTTAAAAAAACATGAAACATACAATTATCATATGACCCAGCAACTCCACTCCTGGGCATTTATCCCAGAGAAATGAAAACTTACGTTTACACAAAACTGCAAACACCCCGATGTCCTTCAGCGGGTGAAGGACAATAAGCGTGGTACATCAACACCATGGAATACTACTCAGCAATCAAGAGACCAACTATTGATACAACAGCCTGGATGAATCTCCAAAGAATTAAGCTAAGTGAAAAAAAGCCAATTCCCAAAGTTTACATATTGTATGATTCCATTTATAATACTTTTAAAATTATATAAATGGAGAAAAGATTAATGGTTGCCAGGAATTAAACGTAGGGAGGAGAGGGAAGTAGGTGTGGCTATAAATGGGCAACAGGGAGTCTCATGGTGATGGGAATGTTCTGTGTCTTGACAGTATCAATGTCAGTATCTTGGCTGAGATATGAACTCCAGTTGTAAAAGATGTTACCATTGGGGGAAACTGGGTAAAGAGTTCAGAGGATCTCTCTATCACTTCTTACAACCTCATGTGAATCTACAATTATCTCAAAATACAATTTTTAATTTTAAAAAATCACAAAAAGTCCTTTTGTCAACAAAGAGATATTTAAATCATGTTTCAATGGATTAAAAAGCAATAGTTCCAACAGCTAATGGCCCATTTTTACCTCTCTTTACACAGCTGTGAAAAGTGTGTGCTCCCCTTGAGCCATGATTCTACAAAGGCTACCTCTGCATCTGACTGTAAGCTACTTGAATGCAAAGACAGCAGCAGTTCATTTTTGAATTCTCCTTGCTTAGCAGAGTCTCTAGCACATAAATAGGTATTCCACAAATGTCTCATAAATGTTCACGCTTAATGTGATTTTCATCCTAGCTACCCCAGTGGCTTTTTCAGGAGGAAGAGGAGAGAGCTATAGAGACTTGGCCTAGGACTCCCAACAACAGTAGAGATGACAAACTGGATGAAATGGCTTTCCCTTTGAGGCCCAAAATATTCACAACCCTTTGGTCTTCTGTTCCCAATTTCTACTTGGAAGGAAGGTACCATTGAAGTGTGGCAATACACATTAAAAATATTAGGAGAATTTGGGAAAAAAACAAATAGAAGGAAAACAAGATGGTACGGATTAAAAATTATTGAATGACACTAAAAAAAACCCTTTAAATATATATCCAGTTTTTCTTCAAAACTCAACTGATCCCCTCATAAAAAGAGTAGTGATTTCAACACCTCAAAGATAAAAATCCCATTAAAAAAAACCTGAAAAATACCTACACAGAAAGTCAGACCTAAACATGACTTTTCTCATTAAAACAAAATCCTGAAGTGAAAATACACCAATGTGACTCTGCAGTCTAAGGGCGCGTGGCTCCCTGCCTGTCTATGCCTTTCAGTCGCTGGAGAGTGGGGGCCTGAATGTCCCGACTCCATCTAGTCTCTGGATGACAAAGGGAAGCACCAGTGGCTGCTGCTCACAGAGCAGAGTAAGGAGAGAGCTGAGAGGACCTTACTTTACTGTTGGTGTCCTACCCATTCTACTCCACCACGCTCGCCTCTTCATCTGGTGACTTCAAATCAAATATGCAAAACACTGAGATATTCATTTTGATGTTTCAAAAATTAAAAATAAAACTTGGTGATTTTATGTTGAATTTTAAAGAAGAATGTACAAATAAATATGACAAGATTATAATCCTTCCAAAATACCAAGCATAGCCTTTCCTTCATCTTCTAACTCAAACCGAAGAGTCTGAAGTTCCTGCTCCATTTCTATCCTGAAGCCCTCCATTGACTCTCTGTGGGCATCTTTTAATGACTGAAGTTCTGCAGAATGTTTTTGTTGTAAATGATTTTCAAGAGCCTAGAACAGGAGAAATATATTCAAATTATTATGCTAGAACAGAAGAAGGAAAATGCAAACAAAATAGAAATTACTAAAACTGAGTTATTATTTAAGAAAAACAAGATGTTTTCCATTCATTTTCAAGAAAATTAGATATAACATAATCACTATTAGAAAATAAATCAGTAGGGTCACTTCAAGAGAATAAACGAATCATCATGAAACCAGTTTGATGCAATATATTGTGTGTGAATTGGGATATGGACCCTCTACCTAAGGCAGTTTTCAAATAAAGTCATTTTCTAAAATTGCTAAGGGGTGGAAACCACCTAAATTAATGAATAATTCCTCTGTGTGCACAGACTTAGGAAAGAAAGGAGGAGGGCATTAACAAGAATTTGGAAAAGAGATTAGGGAAGAGAGACTAGGGCTTTTACAACTCCAACCCCATCGAATATTTTGTAGCTACTTTCTACAGGCATTCTTTTTTTTGCTCCTGCATTTGTGAACAGAAGCAAAAGCTCTGTGAGTAGGTAGCTGGAAAAGTCAACAGGCCTCTCACATGATTAGGTTTTTGTGTGTGTGATTATTTTAAAAGCCTAGTGGTTAAGTGCGCGCGCTCCGCTGGGGCGGCCTGGGGTTCGCCGGTTCAGATCCCAGGCGCGCACCGACGCACTGCTTGGCAAGCCATGCCGTGGCAGCGTCCCATATAAAGTGGAGGAAGATGGGCACGGATGTTAGCCCAGGGCCAGTCTTCCTCAGCAAAAAAGGAGGAGGACTGGCAGATGTTAGCTCAGGGCTGATCTTCCTCACAAAAAACAAAGCCTAGCCAGAGAGAACAGACTACATGTGGCTGAGACTAAGAGAAGATACGTGGCCACAGGAGGAAAAAGAGAGCCCGGGCTACTTCACGCTTAGAGACTGAACTGTGCTGGGAAGGGTTTTTCTTACTATAATCTATAACCCGAAAGGTTTCTGAGAAAGATTAATGAGGGCTTTATTTCTTTAAACTGCTGTTTTTGAAAATTAGTATTCGGCTACTTATGTTCACTATTTTAAAAGTGTTTTATTTCTGAAAAATAAAGCGTAGATTTCTTTGAATATAGGTGAAATAAGAGACTTTTCCTTTAGATAACATTACTTAGGTAGCTTGGCGACTTGATGGACAATAAAATTCCAGGTTCTGATTTCTTCTGAAAATTGATTGAAGTTCCAGAAAGATCAAATGTGTAAAATTAAAGTACTGATATGACAGCTCATGTGTTATTCCAATTCACAAATGGTATCCAATGAATAGATTGGTTAGCAATGCAATCAGGCCTAGTTTTTAACCAAAGGAACTTCCTTGACTTTCTGGACAGGATCAATAGAGTACAACTTATTGTATAGGCAAGTTAACTGCCTTTAAAGGAATATGACTTTTTTGCTTTAACAATTTCTTTATAACATACCACTTCTTAAAATAGTGTCTGCACCCAAATAAAGGATTAAAAACAAGCTATATCTGTAAAGACTATATATGGTGAAAATTATTGTTAGTAAAACTGTTTTTCTATCAAATCTTTATCTTATAAGGTCCTTAGAAGAAATTAAAAAATACAGTGTTAAGAAATGAAATAAACCCAAATTAATCACACCAAGATTATGTCAAACTAACATTTTAACACAGAACTAAGTAATGGATATGGGAAGATTCTGGCATATAATATGATTAATCCAATAATGTATCTATTTGATTTAAGTCTCTTCTGAGGGATTTGTTCTATCACTACTTTTCATATAGCCTTTGGGGCTACATATAGGGAACTGTACTATTTTAAAATGCCTCCAATTTCATTTCATTGTGAATTCTATACATAAGAAAAAAAATGTGAGAAAAAAAGTGGGATTAGAAAATATATAAATTCCTTGGATACATGTATCTTTTGTAGATCTAGCCTGAAAGAAAAAATTAACAATTTGATGAAAGACTATTATAAGTTCAAGGTAGTATTAAGTAATTACAGTGGGTACTCCTCAGTAGGACCATGCTAAGTTTACTCATCACTGTTAACTAAAGGACAAACCAGATGGTGTATTAGTCTCATCATGAACTTGGCATTATATGGGAAACAGAAATAAGATGTTGGCCTGGACCAGTTTGTCTGCTATAGCGTGTAACTAGTGTATATGTTTAATCACTGTGACCCATGCAAGAAGTCATATCCTAGAAAACACACTAAAATAAAGCAATACATAATTTTTTGGAGCCAAAAAATACATTCTTAAGAATTTGAAGGATTAGGCTGTTGCATTACATTGAATATGTCATGTTAAACTTACTCTTTGTTCTTTTTCCTTTTCTTCTTCCATAGTCTGAAATGCAAGAACATGTGCTTCTTTTAAAGATTTATGTCTTTGTTGATGCTGTTCCTCTAATTCTTCAAGCTCTTGTGTAAGTCGCTGTCGTTCTTCTGTAAACTGGGCTTGCAGCTGCTGCAAAGAAGTCTGAGACTGGGAAAGCTGCATCTCCAGATTCTGTTTCAGCAAGGAAATCTATGCCACAGAACGGTACACAATGAAGAATAAATACAAGGCATATTTCACAAATTGCCAATCTAAGGAAAAAAAGCATTTCAAAGATATTAACTATAGCAAAATAATTGCTGTAAGAAAGTATCCACTTAAAATGTTTTACAATATATCACAGATATATAATCTTTAGATATTACCATTTTTAATTCTATTTTCAGTAATTACCCTAAAAAAAGAGTGCTTTGGTGGCATTAAGTTTGTAGACTCTCTAAAGAACACTGCAGCCCACATTTAGAAATACAATGAACACCTTTGTTGCATTGCAATAAAAATTCATAATATGAAATAAAAACAGAAGACAACTAATGTGTTTATTAGGTTATAGTCACTTTAAGGAGACAGTATGAAAAGTTAAACCGCTTATCTGTGGGGCAATAAAGTTGAGTAGTTAAGACTGTGGGCTCCGAGTTAGAATCCTAGCTCTGCCACCTGCCAGAATCAACTCCTCATCCAGCTGTGTGAGAATGAAGTGTGTTACTACATGTAGTTCACTCAGAACAACCCCTGGCATACAGTAAGTGCTCAATAAATGTTAGCTAAGATTATTTGAGGATTAAAAACTATTCTTTAAAAGATTTATCATCTTATAATTTAGAATCCTTGAGCTAAAAAAAAGATATTTTGGGGGCTGGCCCAGTGGCGTAGTGGTTAAGTTCACACGCTCTGCTTTGGCAGCCTGGGGTTCGTGGGTTTGGATCCCGGGTGCGGACCTACACGCTGCTTATCAAAGCCATACGGTGGCCGCGCTCCATAAAAGTAGAGGAAGATGGGCACAGATGTTAGCCCAGCGCCAATCTTCCTCAGCAAAAAATAAATAAATAAATAAATAAATAAATAAATAAAGATATTTTTAAATTCTGATTTAATTCAAAGGTCTTGCAAACCTTTAAGCTTTTTAAAAATCACAAACCTCCACAATCCTCTAGTTATATTCTTATAATAATGACAGGAGTGTTCCTTGTACTTTCACTATGGACAACTGATTTGTCACTCCTTCTGAAAACAGACAATGTCACCCTTACTATGTCTGCATTGTTTCTAGGTGTTTTAAAATTAAGTCCTTTTCTAAGAAAAAAAGCACAAAACACGTGTACATGTATATATATGTTCATATATACATTTGATGAAACCATTTAATTTGATCCACTTGTCTTCTCATATACAGGAAACTGTATCTTGAAACTGGATAACTCAACCATCTTCTAATGGGAACCAGGTAAAAAAGTTGTCAAATGTGTTCTATTAAGCAAATTAAGAAAGTGTATGTGGCCAAGAAAGCTCATGGAAAGAGAAAACTTGAAAGTGAGTTTTTGTAAACGGGAAAAGACTTTTTTTTTTTGATTGTTGGAAGGCAGATATAGGCTGCCTCAAAAGTCTCACAAAGGAAGGTACCTGGGAAAGAAAGAGAAAGGGTGGAGAATCAGCAGAAATGCAAAATAAGAAAGAAAAATAAGAAAGGAGGAGCGGGCAGACAGGAAAGGTGAGAGGCAAGCAGCAGGACACAGTCAGAGACTGCACTGAGGTTAGGGTGGATGGCTAGCTGTGTAGAAGGGTTCTGGACAGCTATAAATCAGGATTAGCTGTAAAGGTTAGCACACACCTTAATGGAGACAGTGAAGCACAGCTGAAAAATGATACAAGTGACACAGATGTTCAATCTGTTTTAATGTATTTCCAAAAAAGTGACTCTACCTATTGAAAGTGACATGAGTTCTGCTTATTAATTTCTACACAAAACCTACGGTTTCAGAGGTTATTTTGTATGTTTGAAGGCACGGTGAACTGCAACGCTCTGACTCCAGGCAATGCAACTCCCCACCCCTCTAAATGGCAGCAGCGCCCATGCTTTATGCACTGAAAGAAACCCTGCAAGGGTGAAAATTGCAGGAGAATGTCACAGCAACAGCTAGGGCAGTAATTGTGGAGTAGGAGCCCAAGACGAATTACAGCATGTGACTTCTCATCATCTAGGCACAGCAAATTAGGATGAAATGAATATTAAGGACAGCCCATAAAGAAAAAATAGGTCATAAAGGGTAACAGGCCACAAAACTCTGTCTTTGTGAATACTGATGTGTAATTGGTACAGTCATTTTCTCCCCAGATAGCTGGTTCTTGAAGTAGGGAAGGCACCTACGCACTCTCTACCCAAGACCCTAGTTCCAGACCCAGCATGGGGATTCATGTGACTGTCTTGTCTCCAGTGACAATTTGTTAGAACATACATGGAAACATTAGGAAAAGACTGTGTTACATGTAGAATAATGATTGACATTGTCAAAGCTATTATTTGGCCCCTGGCCAAGTGAGGACTAAAATCCATTCAGCAAATGAACTGCTCATGAAGCCGTCTGCCCCAGTACGCATCTGTGGCCACCCAAAGAAAACGGGCATGTGTTTCTGATTTGCATGCAGGCACCATATGGGCTAGCAGTGGACCTGGATCCCGTCCTCCAGTTAAGTGTGCACTTAGGTTAGTAAGAAGCCAATCAGTTCAGCAGTGTATCTTATTTCTGCAATATCTGCTTCAAAAGTCCTCTGCATCCAAAGAGCTCCCATATGTTAATTTGACTACAGTTTGACTCACATTTGAACTGTTTAAGGATGAAACTTATGAAGAAATATAACATTTAAAATGAATAAAGTACCACAGTGATATAATAGTTATACACTTAAAATCTAAGCACACTTTCAAACCTCTCCAGCTTAAATAAAATACACTTAAATATTTTACATCATAATATACTTTACCTTGAAAGAACTCCAAAGTAATATTTTTCATTTTAGGATATATGATTAATCTTTGTATCTGTACTCAAGAAAATATAAAGTATATGCAAGAAGACATTATCATGCAATTTAGTGTTCAAATATACATAGTTTAGATATTTTCTATTCTTAACTTTGAAAGCACAGCAAAATAATATTAAGGCTATCTAAAATCTTTGGATTCATGCTCAAGACAAGTAACATGAATTATATGCAGAAAGCCTTTATCATGCAATGCAGCATTAAAACTTATTTTTTCCTTTTATAAATTAATTAGTAGAATTGCATTAAATTGTCAGCTTTTATTCAGCATGAAAATTACATGGCACTTTAAAAGACAGAAATAATGAGCAAAGCAATGTAAAATCAACTAATGTGTTATAACTGTAACTTAAGCAGCTGAGTTTAGTATACTTTATGGAAATACCTATTAATATAAAACTTCATTAATTCAAAATAAAAGAGAATAAAGATAGACATTGCATTAAATAGTTTGGGCAACTTTGATCAGTACTTTTATTACAGAATTACAGAAGGGCATTTGTTGAATAAATAAATGAGAAACAGTGGTTGCTTCAAATTATATATTATATTCAAATTATGTAGTCTATGGTATTAGTTCCTATACATTTGTAAATTTTAAATTTTAATGCTTTTTATTTTGTTGATTTTAAATAAACCAAAGAGAGTTCTTATTTCAGAAAAAAATTTTAACCTTCATTTAAAAAATTCTTACCCCAGCACTTTAGATATGAATTATATAATATATTCTACTGATCAATAGATACCAGATACTTTGAAAACAATTTTAAAGGGCAAACTGCACTGATAGTAATTGCCACCTTCTGATCTCTACCACTTAAAATACTATTGTCTTTTTGAAAATAAAGTGTAAAAATTTCAAAAGGAGAAAATTAAAAACATATGGATACATTTTTCTGAAGAAAAGGAAAGCTTTACCTATTTCCTACAGAGCTGTTTCACAAGGATCCTATACCTCGACCATGATGCTTGAAGAAGAACTCCCTCAAAATAGAAACTGAAACCTCAGATCTAAGGTACTGGATATGACAGCATGTCAACATGGGACATGTATTGATTGTGTACCTACAACCTTTGGTTTTTGATACACTGTTGGTGTCCCCCCCTGCCAAAATATCAGTCTTGTTACAGAAATGAAAGAATACGAAAAGTATAAACATCATTTGTCCTCAAAACAAAGCATTTCTTGAGATAATAAATGCAATCTGTGGTTCTCAAACCTGGCTGTATATCAGAATCATCTCTGTAGATTTTAATAAATATACTTGCCCAGGCCCTGATCCCTTGATATTCTGATTTAATACATCTGGAATTGGGCCCAGGCCACTTAATATATTTTTTTTTTTTTTTTTTTTTTTTAAAAATTTTATTTATTTATTTTTCCCCCCAAAGCCCCAGTAGATAGTTGTGTATCATAGCTGCACATCCTTCTAGTTGCTGTATGTGGGACGCGGCCTCAGCATGGCCGGAGAAACAGCGTGTCGGTGCGAGCCCGGGATCCGAACCCGGGTCGCCAGCAGTGGAGCGCGCTCACTTAACCACCAAGCCACGGGGCCGGCCCCACTTAATATATTTTTATTTCAAATTACCAAACCAATAAGTGTTCATTGTGAAAATTTTTTTAAATTATAGGGGTTTATAAAATAAAAGGGAAAGTTTCCTTCATTCCCTTTCCTTGCCAAATCCCAATCCCTCAGGGTACCTGGTGTAACACCCTGGTATCTCCTCAGACTCTTATGACTTATCTCTCTCAATATAATTGCCTGTTTTGTTTTCTTTTGTTTTTTTTACTACAGCCATGTGTAAATGGCTGAACGATTTTCAGCAGAGAGTACATCTGCCACGATCTACCAAATGTTGGCCGTGTCTTACACACACAAGTTTCTTGGGGGCCCCAGGATGCACCTCAGATCAGTGCTTACTGTCCAAAGGAGCTGAAACAAGGACCCATGGGGCTGCTGACTGGGACAGACATTCCTTATGTCTCGGACAGAGGGATAAACCCCACTTCAAACATGAAACCATGAGGGTGTCCTGACATCCCTGTTGATATGGGATGGAGTAGCTTTTCACTCACACAACTCCATGTAGCTTCCTCCAAGATGAGTATACCCATGGATTTACTTCACGATGGTTAATGATTTTTCCAT